GCGGCGTCGAGCTGCGCGGGACCATCAGGTTTTGGGACCTCGAGCGGCGGGAGATCAGCAGCACCGTCGTCATGCCTGGCCCGCCCATGGGCATCATGGACGTCAAGTTCATTCCACACGACCCGCATGGCATCGCCGTCGCGGGCGCCATGTTCTCCGGAGTCTACTACACGGTCGACCCCACCACCGGCAGCGTGACCGAGGCGTACAACTGTCGACAGATCGTGCCCCAGTTGGGCGAGCCCAGCCAGTGCATGGTCCACCTCCTGACCCCGATGAAAAGCGGTGACAGACTCCTGGCGTCGTCGTCCTACGGTCAAGTGCTGCTGCTGGACATCTCCAACCGCGCTAGGTTCCACCAGTTGTCGGTGGTCAACCTCGGTGTCACTGCTGGGCCACACGTGCTGGCGCTCACCCACGACCAGGAACGTCTGGTGGTGGCAGACTACTTCCTGAACCAAGACGACTTTGGCCGCGTGCATGTGGACGGCGACCACAAGATGCATGTGCTCAAGGTCTCTCGAGATTCTCTCTCGCTGGACCCCAGGTTCACCCTCGATTTCGACGAGGCATTTGACCATCGTGCCCGCCCTCATGGGTTCGCCATGAAATAGCTCTGGCTTGATGAGAGAAGTTTCTTTGCTTGTTTCCACACATATTTTGATTTAGCAGCAGAGCAAAGTTCAAATGCGGGTGCGTGCCCTCAGTTGCTGAGCTTGGTGCGCAGCTGTTGGGTGGTGGCGGAGAGGAGGCGCGTGAGCTTGTCCTGCACTGCAAACAGCTGGCGCACGTCGAACCCGGCCAGCAGCTCGGCCGCGCCGTCCTTCATCTGCGCCTCGAACCCGTCGGTCTCCCCCGACCCGCACAGCGCCTCCAGCATCTGCCGCAGCTCCGGTTGCCGCCGCCGCCGGCCGTCGTCATCGTGGCCTTCAATCACCATCATCGCTTCTTCTTCTTCTTTTTCCTCTTTCTCCTTCTTGTTGTGCTTCTTCGTCTTGACGTCGTCGTTGTCGTCGTTTTGCTGCTTCTGGCGCTTGGCCGCTGGCGCGTCGTCCTCCTCCTTCTCCTCTTTCTCCTGTCGCTCGATCTGCTCCTTGCGCCAGTTGAGCGAGGCGCGCCGCCGCAGCCGCACGGTCTCCTTCGAGTTGCTCCGCTCGCGCTCGCGCTGCTCGAGCTCCTCCACCTCGCGCCGCTCCTTCTCCAGCCGCTCGCGCTTCTCCCTCAGCTCCTTCTCCCGTTGCAGCTTGGCCGCATCCTCGGCCTCGGCCTCGGCCTTGGCCTTGCGTGCAGCTTGCTCGGCCTTGGCCTTTGACGTCGACGTGGTCGTAGTTGTTGATGACTTGTTGTTGTTGCTGCTGGCGCCGACCGAGACCGGGGCGCCGTCGTCGTCATCGGCGGGCGACGTAAAGAGCGAGCCGGCAGCGAACAGATTGAAATTGGCCCCGTCCTGGGAGGACTGATCCAGTCCGTTGTAGAACGCGACGGCCTTGACCTCCTTCCTCTGCCGCTCCAACACCTCGCGCTGCATGTGCAAATAAGTGTGAGTGTGCGTGCGGTGTGTGTCGTGTCGTGTCGTGTCGTGTTCTTGCGTCCAGAAAAAAGTGATGATGGATGCACACGTGTACCTGATGGTCGGTGAGCAGCTCGTCCTTGTCATTCTTGGGCTTCTTCAGCGCCCCGCCCCTGTTGACCGTGTCCACGTACTTGCGATCGTTCTCCATTTCGTCCTGCTGACTCTCAACCGCTGCACACATACGCACACACCAACCAGCCAGAAAGCGCTGTTAGGCCCAAAAGCAAACCCCCAATTTGCAATGCGCGTGGGTGGTGCAGAACGCACGAGCGGGCGCGACGCTTCGCTTCCGCTTGGCGAGGCGACGGGGGCTCTCCGGCTGCGGCGCCGCCACCGCCGCTGGCGCAGTAGGCTTGTGGAACTTGTGCGGCGCATCAAAACCTGGCGCGTTCGCGTTGCGTCGTGTGAGCCACACTCAACCCGGAAAATAGTATCATTTGTTGATTAAGGGACCTTACCTGGGAAGACTTGGGTGGGCACATGCGTCGTGTCGTCGTCGGCAAACACCAGGCTCGCCATGTCGGCCGACGACATGGAAGGCGTGACATCTTCACACACCGACAGTGTCAGCAGTTGTTCACCGGTCAACAACATAGATTGGGAGTGGGGAGGGGTACCGGTGTCGCCGTTCCAGCCGGGCGGGAGCTTGATGGGCACCTTGTCCTGCAGTTTGGCCAGGACCGCGATCAGACCCTCCGGTACCACCGTCAGCGATGGCGCCGTGCCAACTAATCACCACACCAGCGCACAACAACATTCGTTAAAGCTTTCATGTACGGTGTGTGCTTGTGCGCGTGTGCGCGTGCGGTGATGCAATATGCGTGTGCGTACAGGTGGTATTCCAGAACTGAATGGCCGCATTCTTCAACACTTTCCTCTTGGTCACCAGAGCCTCCTGTTGTTTGGTGGCAACACACCCCCGTGGGTCAAGGTCTGAAGCGGGTTGGGCCAACCAAGTGCAATGGTGGCAGTCAATCGTACCGTGAGCAGCGGGGCCAGGAGCTTCAGGGACTCGGCGTCGTCGTAGGGCGGCTTGTGGTTGGTAGTGACGGCCTTGGCCACCACGTCGAACAGCTTGTCCAGCTCCTTGCGCATGTTCGTCGCGGCGCTTCGGGAGAGAACAACACTGTATGCCGCATATAAGTTTAGCAAGTGTGGTGCGTGTGCGTGTGCGTGTGCGTGTGCGTGTGCGTGTGCGTGTGTCGAGCTGCGTATGTACCTGGAATCGGGAGGGACGGGACTGTCCTTGAGCCACTTGGCGATGCCCTCGCCAAAGGTGGAGACCAGACAGAGCACCTCCGCTCTGCCCCGCGCCTTGCTGTACAGGGCGGTGATGGTGTCCGCCAAGTAGGACAACGACAGCTGCCACTCGTTCATAATCAGCTGCTTCGTCGCCTGGTCCTTGTCTGCGATCGCAATCAGTAAGTGACAGCAGTTGAAAATAATAATGGTGTAATAAATAAAAAAATAGAAAGCACGACAGGAGGTTATACCCTTCATCCACTCGTGCTCGTACTCCTCCTGGCGCGCCAGCGTCTCGGGGTAAACGGACATGGCGTTGAACAGGCGCAGCAGCAACCCCACCAACGTGCTTGGGTCACTGACACATGTGCGCGAAAAGAAAAATGTGAGCAGGTGCGACACACGCATAGCACACCCGCGCACACACGACACGCACAGCGCGGCACACGTACGAGGGCTTCGATCGGTTCTTGGTGGCTCCCCTCGGCCGCGAGCAGCTGGCGATAAACGCGTGCGTGGGTCCGGCCACCTCGACCATCGTGTGAGTGGCCTCGATGATCTTGCCCACGCCGTTGTTCCACCGGATCCCGGGCCGCAGGATCTCCATGATGAGATGGCACAGGTGGTCCACACACCCCTCGGCCTCATCCTTGAGCGCATTTATCCTGCAGCGCCCACCCACGGGCGTATGAGCATATGGTAGTGTGTCATGTGTGTCGCGTGTGTCGCGTGCGGTGCGTGCCATGCGTGTGCGGTGTCTACGGTACATACCGGAAAAACGTGGAGTAGAAGGAGTTCCAGGTCTTCTTGATGTCGCCCACGGTGCCGTCCACGAGCACGGTCCACGAGGACTGCCCATCGCCCTGCAGCGCAGCACGGAGTGGAAACAGCAGAGCTCTGCCGAGAAAGAAGAAAAATAACGATGCGTTGGCCTCATCATACGTTATGCGTGTCGTGTTGTGTCATTATGTTGTGTGCGGCGACGGGAGGCAGTACGTGTAGTAAACAGTCCTGTGATCATGCTTGTTGGGGAGGGCAAACGGAAACGGCGTGTCGGCGGCGCAGTTGGTTTCGTCCATCCTCTCCTCCAGGCTCCGCGCTGTTTATGTAAATACAAAGTAAAGACCACGATGAACGGGAAGCGAGAGGGCAGATGTCAGCAAAGGCGTCGGGCGTAGATAGACAGGGAGGGGATCGTACCAACGCTGAGCCAGCCCAGCATCAACACCTTCTGGTTGGTTTTGCGGGAGACGGACGACTCCAGCAGGCTTTGTAGCACGTACAGAGCAGTGAGCAGCGAGGTGTTGGGATTCACCTGGTCCGCTTTCTGATAGGTGGTGGTATGTGAGTCAAAAGTGAACAACAAACTGGGTAAAGGAAAGTGTGTGTGCCGTGTGTCGTGCGTCGTGCGTGTGAGTGGCTCACCTTGGCGGGAGTGACGCTGAGCAGTAGTTGAAGCGTGTCGCCGAACTGCTTCTGGTCCTTGATGGCGTTGGGGTTCGAAAAGAGTCCGCGCAGCAGAACTCCTGTTTACGCCAAGAGCATTGGTGAGCAGGCACACAATGGGCCAGTGAACAGTGAGTTGTACGGAACGAATGATAGCGCTGTACCGAGGATGGTGGAGGTGGACGCGTGCGCCGAGGGAGACGACGAGTCCGACAGGGCGTAGTGTGGCGACAGTGCAAGCTTGAACGACGTGTGTGGCGACTTGTTGGCAGCTACGGCGGAGAAGGCCCGGAGGAAGCGCGTGAGGACTGTCGAGGCGTAGCCCAGCGGCAATGGCGGTGCGTCCTTGTCGCCCGACAGCGCAGTCCCTGAGGCGAGGAGGTCGGACAGGAAGTGCACTACCTGAGACTCAACCGCTATGACCCTCTGCATATGAACGACATATTCGCACATATCAATGTATCACCATCACCTGATATATATTTGCTTCAGAGAGAAGACTCTCCACGCTAGTAGTATTTACCTTGCTTTCAGGTTCCTGTGCGTGCAGGTGTGCCACTCGCGCAACTAGCCCTTGCCACACATCCAAGATCGCGTCCTGCACACATCACACCACAATCAATCTGTCAGTCTTATGAATTGAGCCATAACGCGCTGTGCGGCCGCGCCATTGCTGAGCGGGGTACCGAAGTCCTCGAGATGCAGCCCGGCAGTATTTGGAGAACAAAAAGGGCAAAGTCGTCCACCACCCAGTCGGCCTCGAGCGGAAGTGGTCGCGGCTCTGAGGAAACAACAACGGTCCCATTAACTCCCATTTGAGTGAAGGCCTGGAAAAGAGATGTAGTCGATGGCGTACCGGCGCTGCTGTCGCTCGCATCCGGCAAGGCCACCAATTTGCCTGGCGTGATCGCGTGAGACGAACGCGCAAAGATTGAAGAAGAAGGAGACGGCTCATGTGGTACCGACAAATTGAAACACTTCCTCGGCGAGCTCCGTCTCGGGCACCTTGGCGACAAGCTCGAGGAAGGGGAAGAAGACCTGAGAAAGAAAAGGACTCATATTATGCGACAAACAAACTTTCGTCGAAAGACAATGGCATGCAAGATTGACGCACCCGCGAAAAGACGGTGGGCACCGACGAGCCAAAGCCTGAGACCAGGTGCATCCACGACTGCACCAGCGCTTTCTTGACCTCGACACTCTGTTCCCTCTCCACACTGGGCGGGGTGAAATGAATTAATCGCAGATGGTGAAAGAGAGGAAACAGACTGCTCATGAGGTATGAGAGACGGTAAGTTACCTGCTGAGGAAGGGCTTCATCAGGAGGTCTGTGCGCTTGGACTTGGGGCGCAAGAGGTGTTGCATGTCGTGCATGCAGTTGTCCATCAGACTCTTCCACCCGTTCCACGTCACAATCCGCACATTGGGGTCCGCGTGGTTAAATGTGGTCTACGTGCAACACACAAGGCGAGATTCGGTCAGATGGTCACTCTAGACAGGTAAACAAGCTGTGTCTAGCATGTACCGATGGGATCTGCAGGAACGCCTTGATAAGGCCGCTACTCCACAACTCTTTCTGCAGCAGGATCACCAGATAACCTATGCGCGCGTGCGCGTGCGTGCAGTGGCGCGTGTGCGGTGCGTGATGGTGAGCGCTACGAAAGGAGAACCTGTAGCGAATCGCAGGGTGTACCCCAGACACGGATGGCGAGGCAGGGCTTGTCTTTGCCCTGAATGGTAGACTCCTCGTCCAAGAAGAGGTTGAACCGTTCGAGCATGCCGCCCGTCAGATCACCCACGAGCTTCGACGAAATCGCGGGCGCAATGCCACTCTTCACCAACAGCGGCAGTGCGATGTTGACGACCGCCTCGGCCTTCTCCCTCACGCTGTGTTGTCGCCCAACAATGTACGAATTAACACATGCAGGAAGAGAAGATGATGGTGGTAATGAAGTGATTGGGCAGGTACGCAGGGTTCTCGTGGAACAGGCGGGTGTAGACGGCCGGTAGCCAGGCCTCAGCTTGCTTCACCATCAAGTCAGGAATCTGAGCTAAGAGCTTGCCTGTTTTTTAGGGTTAGCAATGGTATGCGCTAGGAGAAGAATGGGAGTCTGGTGCGCACCAAAGGCAGCGATGGCCTCATATTCGATGGTGGATGACGAGGCAAAGCGAGCGTTGACCGTGTCGATGAGGCCGGTCACAGCAACGATGATGTCCTTCACCCTCTTTGCCACTGCATGGCGCAGCTGCTGTATGGCAATGCACCACACTGGGCAGGAAAATGAGAGAGTTAGCAAGGTTGAGATGAAAGTAATGATCGGAGGTATGCAAGTCTGTGTATAGAGGAATGCGCACCCGCTAAGTTACAAGCCGACTGGTGCACCACAAACAAACAAATCACAGGAATAAGGAGGGAGGTTGTGAGCAATGGCAGATCATCATTAGGGCTGGCAGTGGTACCTTGACTTCAGAGGTGGTGATCACGTCGAGGACCACTGTGAGGATCCGCTCGGACTGCGCCTCTGCATCAGCATCACAGACGAAATAAAGAGGCAAAGCGTTGTGAGTGAATGTGGAGTGGACACAGTGCCACCAAGCATGGGCGATCTACCATTGAGTTGTGAGACTGCTACGCTGTTGTAGGTGAAATAGCCCAGCGATCGCAGTGCTATCTCGGCCCTATGTTGCGATGAGATGAGTTGAGGTACGGAGAAGACCAGAGGAGTGGGCCGGGTGTGCACGCACATCTTCTTGGTTTCGGCGTGACGCGAGATGAGGGCGACGTAGATGTCCACGAGCTCGTGGGCGTGCGGCTTGATCTGCGCCGCCGCACCAGAATCGCTCGCCTTGAGCAGAGCATTGAGCGATTCGAAGGCGGCGAGGGTGTTCTTGGTCGCCTTGCCCGCCTTCATCACCTTGAGCACGCTGCCCATGTCTATCGTACCAGAATTGGCCATTTTCACCAACTTTTTGTTCTTCCCGCTTTGGTATGCAAACGGGTCTTCTTGTCCTGCGTCTACTTAAAGACCCAGGCGAAGAACACAATTACTACTATGAAGCCCTCCTGTGAGATGGCGAATTTGTTGATCGCTTGAAGATGCACGTTTGCCAATCTTGAATTTGGCGCGCAAAATTTTGCGCGGGAACCCAGCCCTGGAGCCGAAGGGAGGAATTTTGTACAAAGCGCCTCACATCAATGGTAGACATAGAAGAGAAGGAGCACGAGCACGACGAAACCGATGCCTACGGCGAGCAGGCCGCGCTTGAGGGACTCGTTCGAATCGGCCACCCTCTGCTTGGCCTTTGCCAGCAACTGCTCCTTCGTTTGCTTGTCCATGCTCTGCACCTCCCTGTTCCCGAAGCAATGGAATGAGCATGGTGCGTGTGCGTGTGCGCGTGCGTGTGTGTGTGCGGTGTACCTGCGCATGTAGAAGACGGTGGGTCCCATAAAGCCGGCCTTCTCGGTGTACACAGTGGCAAAGCCGAACTTCTCGTACCACGGCACATTCCTCGGGTTGCCCGTTTCGAGGTAGACCGGCAGGTCTTCCTTGTCGGCCTTGTCCACCACCGACCTGACACAACATCAAAATATGAATGGTGAGATTCAACGACAAGGCTGGTCGTCTTCATCATCATCATCATCATCATCATCATCATCATCATCATCATCATCATCATCATCATCGGAAGTGGCTCGATAAGTACTGTAGGAGAACGCTGCCGACGCCTTGCCCCTGGCAATCGGGGTCCACTGCCAGGAAGCCCACGTACCAAAAGCCTCGCTCTGCAGCACATACAAACGGGTAAGCCCCATTGCATTGTCGTGTCGTTGGTCGTGTCGTGTCATGTCGTGTCGTGTCGTTGGAGAGTACCGAGCAAGTCGTCCATAACGACTTCTTTAAGCAGGCTGCTGCGTAGCAGTGAGGGCAGGATCTTGCCCATTCCCTTCAGCCCAGTGATCACAGGCAGCCTGCAGCCCGACACACAGAAGCGAATGAGTGTGGAAACAGAGACACCCGGGGCAAGAGCAGTGAAGGTTGCCTAATTACCTGTGAATGCCATGCTTCATGTGGTCCACGAAGCTCTCCTTCACGAGAGGCGGGTGCAGAAGGAGGACGCCCTTGAGCTTGATGTCCGTCTGCGCCGCTTTGGCACCCTCGGGCAACGCCAGATAGGACTCCCCGTGTGGTGCGTAAATCGCTCTGGTGAGCGTCTCCTGCACGTGCACCACACATCAATGAATGTATAAATAAATAAATAATAAAATTAAGGCAGATGAACAAAGCAGAGGGTGTACCATTATCTCGTGGAGGGCGGTCATCCTGCCGGCTGACCCCAGGTGGCTCGTAAGCTGGAGGTTGGCACCAACGGAAAGAAATCCCCACTCAGTCTGTTAGTACTGACAGTTGCATCGACGTCAGCTGAGTGCGGAAGAAGAACCCATGAGAAGACGGGGTCGGTTGCAAAAGCACGGGCCAGCACGCTGGCCGTATCAGTGAGTCGCACGTCCTCGTAGCCCACCACCTCCACCGCGGCCATGTTGCAGTGAACGTTTACTTTCTTGACGTTTTATTTTATTTTTATTTGAAGGCAATACACGCAAAGACCGCGCAGCGCAGCACACTCACAATCTATCACCACCACAACCACACCGAAGTGTCTCGAGACGACTTGATGGCCTACCCCTACCAACAGCAACCGCAGCAGGTACTGCCACTCCACTCCACTCCACTCCATCTCATCTCACCTGCGGAACAATGCATCACATGGTCTTAGATGTTTTTTTAAATGATTCGGATGGTGTCCTGCACTTACGACCGGTTTTGGTTCTAGTACCCACCGCCTGGCTCGCAGCAGCAGCAGCAGCAGCAGCAGTGGTATGGTCCGCCCCAGCAGGGCGGAGGCATGCCGCCGCAGCAACCGCAGGGTCAGCAGTACTACTACCAGGGCCAGCCCCAGCAGGGCGGCATGCCGCAGCAACCACAACAACAACAACCACAACAACAACAACCTGGCCACTATGCCGGTGGTGCCCCTCCGCCACAGCAGCAGCAGCAGCAGCCGCCTCGACCCGGTGCTGCCGCCCAGCCTCAGGGATGGGTAAGCACCATTTCATCGCCAGCACGTTACTTGAAGTGCGATCACGCTCACCCTGCTGGGTGTTGTTACAGTGCGGCCAGTACTACTCGCAGATTCCCCAGCAGGAGCTGTACGAACTCCAGCGTTGGTTCAGGTGCGTACAACTCACCAATTCGATGTGTGCGGCGTAGAGCACTCGAGTGAATGGGCATCGTCGTGTTGACATAAGTCGATGTTGGTGCGGCGTGCAGGAGCATGGATCGGGACAACAGCGGTTCGATCTCGGCCAACGAGCTGGCCAACGTGGCCGTGGGCGGCTCCGTCCTGGGCATCGACAACGGCATGAAGCTCATCCGCGTCTTTGACGTCGACGGCAACGGCACCATCGGTACCTCCTCCTTCTCTCGTTTATTGCCATGTTGCTACGCTTGACATCGCCATCACCACTGACGCGTTTCCTGTGACCAGACTTCAACGAGTATGCGTCGCTGCACAAGTTCTTGCTCAGCATGCAGCAAACGTTCAAAATGGTGACCACCTCCTCTTCGACAAGCTGTTCTCAAGCCACCTGTTGACACGCACACACACACACACACACACACACGACAGGGAGACAAAGACGGCAACGGCAGGCTTGATGCGCGGGAGATCCACGAGGCCATCCTCAAGGGCGGATTCACGAACGTTTCGTTCAAGGCGGCGCAGGGGCTCTACAACAAGTACAACCGGTCGGGCATGGGCCTCAACATGGCCGAGTTCATCAGCATCGTCGCCCACATCGCCCTCGCCCGGTCCGTCCTCGAGCGGTGCGTCTTCTTCTCGAGACCCTTTCTCTCTCTCTTCTTTCCTTGCATCGCTGACACGACACACGACACACGACACGACACACGACACACAGGCTGGACTATGACAGGGATGGTCGCATCACGGTCAACATCGACCAGATGTACGAGATCTCGGCCAACTTTTGATGTTCAGCTCCTTTGCTCTTTTGTTGTTGATTGAACGTGAACGTTGAGAGTCACTACACAAAGACGGTATATACACGCGAAGAAGAAGAGGGACGACTACTACTGCTTCTACTACTGGTAGTAGATGCGGGACGGGGTGGAGAAGGTCTCGTAGGAGCCGCCCATCTCGGCGTAGTTGATGAGGGCCTCCTTGATGGGCTCGTTGAGGAAGTGCGAGTAGAGCGAGTAGACGCCGAAGGCGACCAGCACGAGGTAGGCGATGGTGAGTGGCCAGAAGAACCAGAAGAAGCCGCTGTGGTCGCCCGTGTAGGCCATGTGGAAGACGATGGCGAAGAAGAGGACCAGGTAGGCCCCGAAGGTCATGCCGAAGCCCATGAGCCAGAACTTCAAGTAGGCGAAGGCCCGCTCCTGTCGCTCGGGGAAGGCCGGGTTGAGCCAGTACTCGCGCGCGGGCACCTGGAGCGCCGCGCCGCCGCCGCTGCAGCTCGGCAGGAGATGGCCGAGCAAGATGAAGAGAGCCTGGGCGAGGATCACCGCCGCCAGGTAGATGCCCACCATGAACGCCTTGGATCGGTACGCGTCCACTTTGCCTGGTTATAAAGAATTCTAATTATTTAAATGTAATTCACTTGAATTCAATCATAAATCGATTAACACCAGCTTACACAGAATAAAATCGATTGAAATAAAAATAAAAATGATAATCTTAATTAATTGGCCAGTACCTTGCCAGTCGAAGTGGGCGGGCAGTTCATCGGGCAGCATGCTGTAGTAGACTGCGCCCTGCACCACCGCAGCCACGAGCACCACCGCATTACCGATGAGCACCGCCACGAGGCCTGGCGGCTTGCCGAACAAGCTGCTGCCGCCTTCTTCATAATCTCCTCGCGATTTCAATCTGGTGCTCTCCATCTTGTGTTCTATGTTCTCTACAGCTTTCTTTCTTTGTGTAACGCTCCGTTCGTCGAGTTGATCGA